CATCTTGATTTCCGAAAAGAAAACGCAGAACATTGTATTTATCAAGGCCATGTGCTTAGTTATCTTGTACATAAACAAACTGAATGGCAATTTGCCYCAGCAGAAGAGATTTGAGACTCTCGTACTGAGCATCTGAGCTTTTTTCCTAGTCCTGCCTAAAGTTAATGATCTGTGGAATAAGGTCAGAGCTTTGTAGAGCAAGGAGACCCTGAGCGGTAAGCTCAACTCTGAAAAACCTGAGAAGTAACTCTGAAAAAAGATGATTCAGATAATTAGAACCTCAAATTCTGTTCTAACAAGGGCTCTGTTCCCATCTGAGAAGTCATGAAACAGACAGTTCTGAAAAATTAACAGGCTCACTGACTTGTTAAATGATATATTACCCAGTAAATCCATTACTTGTCATCAGAGGTTTGCAAGAGGCTATAATATTAAGTATATCAGTTAATAGGTCAGGGAAGCGAAGTTCATTGGACCACATTGCTGAACTCTCCAGCAGATAAGGTGAGCTCCGACCACACGGAGAGCCTGCTCTGCTCATCAAATAGCTTACATTATAATAAACTTCACAGAGAGAAATGGGAAAGAATTAATCCTTATCCTCATTCCAGGCCCACTTTGTCTTAAGTTTCCCCATTTGAAGGTCACAATTCTCTCTCCCCTTCAGAAAGTCCACATGCATCTTAACATTCATGTGCATTACAATATTCTCTCTCCCTGTATTTCTGCTGGTTTAAGGGCAAAAGAGATTCATTACCACCATTTCACCAGGCACAGGCCACTGGCAAGACTCTGGAGACAGCGAGCACATTTTATTTAAAAATGAAAGTCAAAAACCTTCTGTAACTTTCCTGCAGTCTACTCAGAGAATGTCAGTAGCACTTGTGAATGGAACTGTCCCCATTTCCCAAAGGCTAGGCATAAAAGGACTTTTCCTGCTGCCTTTTGTGCCTTTGTTTTGCTGCTCATGTCAAGGACACAGCATGGGAAAGGGAGGAGTAGACAGGATATGCTATATGAGCTCGGTTATTAATTTAACTTAGCATTTTCCAATAGGAAATGACAACAGGGAAGGGAGTCTCTCACAGGAAGCTTTCCATACTGTAAGTCACAAGCATGCTCCTGAACCTTTCCAAATGTGCTCCTGTGATTACCTCCTAACCCACAATAACCTCTAGTTACCACCTTAACTGGCTTCTCCTAAGAGTCCTCCCTCTAAYGTTTCACGAATAAACATTAATTCTGTTTTGTCCTAACACAAGTAAATTCTTTAGCACACCAGCTGTTTCCAGTCAAACCAATTTAAAACATGAATTTATCATTATAAACAAAGACAAATGTAAGTTAATCCAAAGTAAACCAAAGAACTAAAAGCACACATTTGCATCATTCACTATACTTACCATATATAAACTATAGTAAGTACAGCTTTTAAATACATCATTTATTTCCACATCTCATTGTGCAAATTCAGGCCAACTGGCTGCTTGTACCAAAATACCCATTACTCATCACTTTTAGGGAGAATATGCCAATATCAGCACAATGGTGCTCRAATGCATCAGTTTTGCTCTACCTACCATCTAGTCAGAAAGCTCTGCAGAGTTTTTTGTTGTTCATATTGTTTTTACATAAGTGCTTTATAAGCATCTATTTATTAAAGCCACACACCGCAAAGAAAACTGTTACTTTCTAATTTCTTGGGATGGGAAAGTGCTTTTTCCTAGGATTTTTCTTCTTAATGGATCACGGCCAATAACCACACTTCCTTTAGAACTTCGTAGTTTTTCTGCACGGTTTTTAGCACTGCAGCAGCTTCTGTCCTTGCTTTAATAGTCTGCCTACCAAAAGAACACGCAAGATAGAAATTAGTCTTTTCAGGAATCACATTTGGGAGATGGGGATCACACCGATTACCCTAACAGCACTGCCTCAAAAAAGTTTATCATATGCTAACAGTTTAGAAGAAAATCTGAAAGCCCAATACAGAGCATTAGAAAGTTTTCCAGAGATGTGTATGCATACAGTCTYGCACACTATTTCACAGGTCAAGTCCTAAATTTCTATAAAGCAAATATCTTATTGACAAAACTGTCTTACAAAGAAGACAGTGAACTTCAAATGCTTTTTCCTCTTAAATTCATGCAGACCAAACTGTTATTTATCACATTAAGCTAATTTTATACATTTTATATATATATATACACACACACACAGAACAAAGAAGGAAGTAAATGATAACAGCAAGAGCTCCTGTCAGACTCTGCCATGAGTTCACACACTTGTAACCTCCACAGCCATACTCTAGTAGCAGATTTTCCACCTTTTCTCACACCTCCAACTGAGGCTTCTCACTCAGACACTAGGAGGGTAGAAACAGAAATGCACAGTCTGGAAAGGATGGCATTTCTGCCAGAAGGTACTAGTTGTGCAACACTGGCACAGGAACGGGACTCTTTTTCCCCTCCTCTAATAAACCCAACAGTTTCTATTAGGTTTATGACAATGCTTTCATTTTTAGGATACACACAAAGCTTCATATCCTTATAATAYCTTTTCACTTTTTATATTAACCACCTCCATTTTTCTGCATCTCTCTTGGCTTGACGATATGCTGCTAAATAACCACCTCTGCTTTTATCGTCCAAAACAGACAGCACATCTTTCCCCTCTCTGAAAGCCTTCAAACTCAAGACACTAAAGCTTTTTTACTCTTCACCATGGTAAGATATCAGCCAGCAAAGCAGGAAGCAGATGGTGGCGAGGCTCTTCTGTCAGATAGCTATATACACCCTTCCTCCACCTTATAGTCCACGCAGGCCTGAAAAACAGGAAGACTATTTAACATAACAGTGTGGCTGAAGTAATGGGTGCTAGCAAGTGTCACTGATGAGCACCTTGATAACAAAGCATGGAGATTCCAGTAGTTCAAAGGACTAAGAAAAATCTGTGCAAGGTACTTGTGGCTCTGTATAGTGAGGACAAGAAGAAAGGATGCAGCCAAATAACACAGCAGAAACTCAATATATGGTACTACAAAGGGCTGGTATGTCAGACTTCTTAGCTCCAGATTAAAAAAAAAAAGAAAATCACTTAAAACTGAAAAAGAACATACAACAGAAAGCACAAGATACAAGCTGTAATGAAGCTAAGAGGGAACATCTGTTGRAGCTTTGTAGTTTGCTTCTCGACTATCACTATAAAGCACTAAACTCACTAGCTGACAGATTGCCACATACCTAAGCAACAAGTCCAGTGACAAGAGACTATTTACATGACTGAGAAAGAACACATCACAGCACTGAGAGCAACTGCTGGACTTCATTCCCTCATAGCTCCCACTCCTGCAGGCCTCTCAGCTCCAATACCAAAGCTGTTCAAAGCCAACCCTCCTATCCGATCTTTAGAAACTTGCTTTCATAATGGCAGGCATTTCTATAGAATAAAGTCCTTTCTCCATCCAGCACTTCACAAAACTATTTTCACGTACACTTCACATGTGATGCACATCTTACTATGCTGTCATGACCAGGYCATCTCTTAAGTCTATTCATCACCCTCCTGTCTAGTCCCAGCAGCTAAGGAAATCAGTTCCTCATTACTCTGATGAGTTAGAATAAAGCTAACTTCTATTTTGGAATGATCAATGAAGTTAACAATAACAGATCAACAGGACACAACAGAGCACCCATCATCCAACCACTCCTACAACCCCAGCTGCCGTAACTTAACAGTGAAACRCAACATAAGCAACTTGGTTCCATCTTAGTTTGAAATAAATCACTAATTGTCAGAGGGAATATTTTRCCATACAACATGCCGGCCTATACACATTTCACCAGATTCTACAACATACACTTGCCATCTTTGCAAATCAATTTCAGCCTCCCAAAGAGCTAGCAGACTTGCCACCATTAAAGTGTATATACAGTAACCTTATCTGATCATTTACAACAAGCATGCTCATACTGCAAAGGAACTTCTGTGGGCAAAGTTTTGCYAAGAAACTTAAATGTCGCTAGAAAACACTTAACTTCACAAGTAGTTTTTGCTTCTTTAAGGGTTTTGTCCATACTACTCAAATCCAACAAATTTTCTTTTATAAGAATCTTTTAGATGCTGGCAACAGAACACGGGCAAATATCATGGCAACAGCCTCATGCAGGTATTAAACTCTGCCTAGAGAGCAATTCTACAAACAAAAGCTGGTTTGAAGCTTTGGGCTTCTCTCCCAAGGAAAATTAACTGGCAGCACTCTATTCTCATCAGAGGTGTTTGGAAATCACAAATCATCTTCCATTCTATTAGGCACTATGTTGTCAAAAAGAGGGTATGTGCAAGACTTCTTGAAAGAAGTTAAGTGGAAGCAGCACTCCCACTGCAAAATTTGAAGCATAACCTGAGATAAGGAATGGAAAAACTACACCATTKCATTTTTTTCTAAAATTCTCTACAAAATTTATCTATCTGTTCTCAACATGAATACAAGCAGCAATGGAAAAGTTTGTTTTTATCTTAGCATATTTAAGACATGTTTCTGAAGCAGCCTTCATACTACTTTCATATAACTTAACTGAGGTTTGGAGCCCTTCATTTAATAGAATTAGGGCCCTCCAGACAAACCTTCAACAATGTCTGTGTATAGCTATTGTGTTTTAATATGACTATCTCAGCATAATGGATATTTAAAAGCAAAGGTATACAAACTCTTCAGCAATTATACGAGTCAAAATTCTCAACAACCAATGCTTATAATTTTCACTTATCACAAGATGGCTGAACTTTTCTTCAGTTTTTAATTAAAGGGAAGAACATTTTCTGCCTTTTTATTAATAAAGTTTTCACAGGATAAACCATGTTGTAGCCTGTTTATGTAAACCAATATGATAAAGATTTATCATTAATAAATGATAAAGCATTATTTAATCCTGATGCCCAAAACCTAAATAACTTCTTTTGACTAAAATGACTAAAGTTATTTAGTTAGAACATTGGCTTACCGTGTAAATGCCAATTCTACAAACAGCAAATGAGAGCTGGATACATTGAGACATAGTCTAAAGAAATTAAAATAAAGAAATTATCAAAAACTCAAGTCATTCTCCCATTTCTCCCCTCTCTCCCTCCCCCAAGAGGCACCTGGTAAACTAACATGTTTTTGCTATAAAGCTGTACTAAGCAAGGTAAGAAAAATGCCACACAAATTCACATTATTCATATATACTTACTATCATATAGAAGCAGCTGCGAGCATCACTGCACTTACTAATACATTTAATTATATACCTTAAACTACTCTGTGCTCCCCAAAATACCCATATACACCACATTAACATCTTCCATGCAGTCTTTCAGTTCCATTTATTCTCATCAGCCTGAGTTTAAAAACATGTTAGACATCCAAATAACTAAAGTGATGTGCTTTGCATCTTCTTTGTTTAAAAATTGTGTTCCTCCCCCTTTATCACTCAAATTCTCTTCTRCATTGCAAAATGGCCTGTAAATGCTGATACTCCTATATTTCTGAAGTCATACTTCTTGACTTCCCTTAGATTTTTCACATTTAAAACTGAGCTCTTTATTATTTTGAATAATTTAATCTAGTCTTGCAGCTGTCAGTAATATTAAAAGTTTTTACCCTGAACTTGCTCAACTTCCAATCTGTTGTGATGCCACAATTCTACGTCTTCTGGCAGTCACCCAGAGAAGCTGACGATGGACTATGAATTTCTGACAAAACAGATGAGAAATGTTGTTTAAAGGAAGTCTAAAGTAATCAGAAAATAACTCCCTCCCACCAAACCAGACCTTTTATAGGTTTGCCATTTGTGATAGCCAAGCACAGCAGGACAGGCTTATAGTGGACTAGAACAGTAATTGATGGATTCTTTTCTCACAGTTGCTTTTAACTTTTGCCCACAAAGTGGAAGATTTTTATCATGTGTTTATCAAGTTCATGCATCATCCACTCATACTTTACAAAATGAAGTGTTTGATACCACAGGTTTCATATAGCATCCATAAAACAACTTTTTTTTTTTTTGCCTCTACTTTCTATTCCCATCCTTCTTCCTCAGAATCTTGCAAGTGAATCATCTAGTCAATTGAAATYTAGTTTTTAAAAGTTAGGAGAGCAGCTTTTACAAATCATACGATCAAAAAAAACAAAAAGTCTCTTGCAGTAAGTAATTTTCAAAAAGGATTGTCTCACTGAACTGTACAAATATCCATGTGCAGCACAAAAATCTGAAAGGAAACCTTAATGTGATTGATCTTCTATACTTACTGGAAGATACAATCACCAATAAGGGAATACCATTTGAAAAGGCCATTTAAATTGCCAGCATATTTCTCAAAACTGACAAGAGAGAACAAACACCCTGTTCTACATGCTTGTGTTGCAGCTTTCTCATAAAAACATTGAGCTGACTGCAAAATCTTCCATTACCCAAATTGTGGGGGTGGAGTGGAAGCATAAACTGTACCCAGACTAAACGTGACAGCATTTGTCTACCTTGTTCCAAAGGTTCCAGGGAGGACTTCCCCAAGCAATATAGTTCAGTTCATTATCCTCACTGCTAGAAAAGTTTCCTAATGTTTAACCTGAGTCTGCTGCAATTTAAGCCCCTGCTKAAACACAGGATGACATACACATTGACCTGCATTTTCAGTATTTTTCAGGGCAGATTCTATAARGATGGAAGATCAATGATTATATACCAAGTAAAAGATTATTTCTAGTTACAAACAGTGTGTGCAGCAGTATACCATTACAGCTTCTCAATATAGATGAYTAATGTTTATTCTAGCCAAGCAAAAGCCATTTTGTAAACTGTTTCCCTTTTTAAATCTGTTCAAGACATTCAGGCTTTACTGGGTATATTTTATTCATAACTGAAGTGGCAGTTCAGRTTCCACAATAGCATCTGTGGACCACTGCAGCAGCAGAGCAARCTGTGTCGTAGTTACCTTGCTCACCCATTGATGGGTTTGCTACTCTTCATGTTTTTTACCTAATAAGCTAATTATAGGCAGGAGTCCGAAATTACCACATCTTCCTGCCATCATATACAGTGTTAGGGAATGCTTCCCTATCCATTTCCCAACAGACACTAAGCTAACTCCTCTCCCAAGCCTCCAAGACAATACCTATTTATCTGCAACCCTGAGGAAGGAGAGAGAGGAAAAGCATATCCCCTAGCATGTTCCTGGTAGTACCTGGAATTCATTTAAATAACTACACCATTAGAGGCMATCATACAAGCTACCACTCTTATCACATATATACACACACTAGTTCTATGATCATCTACTGCTACCGTAGGAAATTCATGTTGTTTAGGAAAGATAACCTTGYGGCCCMGGTTTCATCCAACACACAATATGGATTTTTACATGAAGACATTTATTCCTCATATTTATCATCCTTAGCTACTTCAGTTTGTRACTCATTTTGCACTACACAACTAGYGAATAAAACAACTCTTGGAGAATTTGCATTTCTTTTACTTACAGTTTTGTGTTGCTTTCTGAAATGGTTTTACATGGTAAGCATGAAAGTAAAAGAAAACATCATTTAAAAATATATCTACAAATATTACAAAGAAAAATACTTTGATTCAACTCTGCAATGACTTATATCTGATAAAAGCTAGTTAGTATATYGAGTGTGGGGAAAAAAGTGATGTTTCACATTGATAAAGTCAGATAAAACAAACATGCATCCTTGTCAATATACTCCCTTCTGCTTAGGCAAACAGCAGTCTCAAACACTAACTTCCACTTGGAAATGAGATTTGCAGCTACTTATTGCTACTTATTTTTGAAAGCTTTAGTTTTTATTCGTTTTAAAAATGTGGCTTCAGAATGACTTGGAAATATACGGCCTGCAYTGCAGTTGAGCTCATAAAGCCCAGAAATAGGTACACATTAGCTTKCAATGCACATGCTCATTGTTAGTAACTAATTCCTGCATTTATTAAATACAAAATGAAGCTCCAAAGCATAATATTTACAAGAGGGCAAGTCTTGAAGACAGCAAGTGCTGCATGTTCCATTGCCCACCACTGACTGAGCACTAGTCCCGAAATCCTAGAYAGGTAAAGGATCCTACTGAGGTGGATTTTAATTAGCATCTTAGGCAAGAAACAAAAGGCTTTACATCTAACAGGGTCAGCAGGGGCTAGTAGTCACATTTTGCCAACCAACAGGGATGTTCATCTAGATCTGAGTTTGCTTTACCGTAATCCTAAATAAGCTATGAAACATTCAGTTCCAAGACCACAGAAAACACAAAACAATACAGGGAAAAAGCTGTTTTTATAGTCATGTCATGCTTCATCAAGATGAAGCCTGATATGTCCTCCTATTAATTTACATAAAAGACCTAGAAAAATTCTCAGAGGTCACGGGTTTTGAAGAGCAACGTGTAAATGCCTGAAAGCAGACAACTGTGCTACAAGAGAGGGGACAGGAACTTTGACCAGGACTGCTGTTTGTGAAGCCTACGTGCTGAATTTCAAGCAGGGCCTTGAAGAGTCCTCTTTCTGCACAGCATGACATAACCCTTTAACCAATTGATATTCAATTAATATCCCACTAAACCCATTAATAACCCTTCCAATATAAACTCCTAAAATTGTCTTTTAATAGTTTTAAAGGACACACAGAAAATTCACATTCTCCTTTAATGCCTTTTAATTAGATCTTTAGAATACCAGGCTTTGTATATGTAATTATTACGAACAGAAAGAAGAGTTGAGAGTCGAGCAGAAACCAGATGCTGATGGAGAGTCAATGATATGTGAGCAGGAAGCAGGAGTGGCTCCAAGAACCCTCCTGTCGCCACAGCAAGTAACCAAGTGGATGCAGCAGAGCTCTCCACTCTCCCAGCCAGTACTCTCACCAGAACAGCTACCCATGACAGTTTCTAAGACTGCAATGGTTCATATAATGAGACACAGATTAGCCAACACAAAAATTAACAGTTGCAAGAACAGAGACATTTCCTTAAAATTCTGGACTTCTCTCGTCTTGCTAAGACCTGAAGCTAAGGAAGTTTCCAGGCAAGAAAATTTCAGGGGTATACAGTTTATGCCACTGGACACAAGCAYGAAATGCTCTCAGTCTTTGCATTCCCCTCTCCTGTCTGCTGAAAGAGCAGYATCAGCACTTACTAATAAACATATTGACAATTTACAGAAAGATTATCTTATTTTCAATTGCTCCCGAGTTTGGCACCCCATTAGGAATAAAACCATATAATGGAAGACCAGACAGTAGCTGGTGGAGAGAGGAGCGAAAAAAAGAGGTAGAAGACAGATCCTTCTTTCAGGAAAAAACTCAAAGTCATAATTTAAGAAAAGAAAATGCAGACTCACTTTCCCAAGGTCAAAGATTCTTCTTGAATGTCACCTTGCTTCCCTCSACTCTCCAATGGCAAAAGCTAATGCAGTCCTGTGAACAAGTCTTGTCTTCTACTCCCTTCCCCAAAACATACACCGTAAAAACAAAGCTCCATGTAAACATTCACGTTCTTCCTGCTGCTCGCCCTTATAAGCGACAAAGCTGCAGGGCAGAACTGTGTCTAAACAGAAGAGAAGTCGTCAGATAGACTTCCTGCTTTGTGCCTCTTCCTCCGATAGCAGGAAGCTACTGACATCTTCGAGCTGGCAGCCGATACAGCCACCTCGCCAGGCTGCCCGTGAGCCAAAAGGAAACTTCCATACTCTGAAGAAATGCAGTACAAGATGAGTCAGTTGCTTGTCCAACTGCAAATACCCCTTATTTATGTCAAAGCAAGACAGTTTGCATTGCAGAAAGTTGTTAAACACAAAAAAAAGCAGATCACGCAAAGTATCACAAGCCAACACCCGATCACAGGATTTTAAATACTGCTGATATTTCTCCTTACAACTTCATAGCTGTAGGGACCCATATTCATGCTTCTAAGTTTGAAGCTATGAGGTCTCCAAAAATGCTTCTTCTGTTAACTGAAAGTTAATCACGCAAAGTATCACAAGCTGCCAACATTAAAAAGCATGATCTGAGGATACTGAAAACAAAACAAAAATAGTCAGCACTGAATATTAAAAGGAATACGCTGTTCTTTGGATGCAGATTTTCTCACTTATTAAAAGCTGGCATTTCTACTCTTTTGTGACATTCATCACTGTGCTGCTTCAAGCTAGGAGCTTGGAGTGAAGAACCTCAGAGGAGCCTAATGCAGAGCAACATGGGGCCCAACCATATTGAACCTCAGGAATAATTCACAAGAACTAGCACATTTTTAAAAGCCAAAACACATTTTTGATGCAATAGCATCTCCTTCTCCAATGCAGCCCTCACGAGAGGGGAAGCAAAGTAATTTGATTTTAAGAGTGCTTATTCACTTGTTCCTTTACAATGTGCATCTGAAAAGACAATTTCTAGAGCTGTAACATTCATGCAACTTCACAGAATCCTCTCCTGGAAGTTATCATCACATTAGGCATTCCTTTGTTTTCCCCAGGAAGCCACATCAAGTTTTAGCGTTTGTAACAGCCACCTTGGAATCTCAAGTTTACCTGGGGAATTCAATAATGCTTCCTATTGCAGGATGAATTAATACAAGGTTTCACTTTTATCATCACCGGGAAAGGAATTTTGCTTCTCCTCTACCCACCCATCTGTCTTCAGGCTGGTGATTAAGTTCCACTACATTAAGTCACCAATATTTTTATTGCCCATTC